CGCTGGTCGTCACCGACCCAACTACTAGTCTGGCCCTCACTGGCTTATCTATGGGAGAGCGGACGGGATCCCGAGTTTTCCAGTGGGTATGGTCGTATGTGATAGGAGTTTGATAGCTGTGTGCCTTATATTCATACCTTTGACTTTGTAGATGCCGATTATGCTTTCTTGTTCACCCATCAACCGTGCGATTACCAACACGTCGCAGCGAACAATGTGGCGAGTCGCCCACCTTAAAGCATAACTACCAACAGGGACATCATTGCCTTTCATCGTAGGAAAACGTTTCTGACTTTTCCACGGGGCGATCTTACTTCTTCTCCTCCACATCCTCTTCCCTCTCCCTTTTTCGTCCGCCGCCACCACTCCCGGCTGCAGCAGCATCTCCTCCCAAAAGCTCCTCACCCAACCCTTCCAAAAAGTTATCCGCCATCTTTCTTGCTCCCCTCTCCTTGATCTCCTTCCTCCTCTCTTCAATCTCTCTCTTCCTCTTCTCCAAGATTTCCTCCCGCTCCCTCCTCTTCTCCTCCGTCTTCTTGCGTTCTTCCTCTAGCGCCCTCATTTCCTCCTCTCTCTTCTTCTCGTCCTTGCTGAACTGGAAAAATCCCACACCCTTGGTGCGGATCTCCCAGTTCGCGTCGTAATGGGTCGGCGGAGGCGGCGTCGCGCTCCTGTCGCGCTTGGCGGCTAGCTCATTGATAGTTTCCAACCGGTCCGCAGTCACAATGGCGGCAAAGGCTTCCGTCTGGATGGTATCGCCTACGATCAGCTGCTCGGGCTCGGCAGGGCGAGCGGACATTTGCGTGAGTTCGGCGGCGGAGGAGCGGGAGCGCTCCAGCTTGGCCTTTTGGGCTGGCGTGACGAGGCGGGTGCGGCCAAAGTCGTCGGTGTACTCTATTAACTCTTCCCTTTCTACCTCGGACTCTTCATCCTCTGATGAAGATGAGACCTCGCCAGTGTGGCCTGTTTTCTTCTCTTGCTCCTCCGCCCATTTCCGGTCAAAGTCAACCAGGCCGATTTCCTTGCCGATATAATCCCCGCGTTGCATGGCGGCATAGAGACGGGCCTTGTGCTCCATATTCCGGCGGGCGCGTTCAAGCTCCCTCTTCTCATCTTCGGTGCCCACGGGCTCTTTGAGCGTCAGCTTGCCGTCTCTGTCCTCGTTAACGGTCTTCGCGCCAGGCTTAGTCTTCTTTTTCACCCCAGAAAAGATGTCCTTGCCAGCTTTAGAGGGCCGCGCACGACCGGTTGTGGCTGTCGTGCTGGCAGGTGATGATGTTGATGACGCTGAGGACGCGGCGAGAAGTGAACTAAGCTGGGACGAGAAGGTTAGAGAACCCGAAAGATTCAACTCCTTCTTTTGTTTCTTGGGCGCTGGTTGCCCGTAGAGATTCGGATCTTGTAGAGGCATTATTTCGGAACTTTGCGTGTTTCTCGCCGTGTTGATGCGCAGATATCTGGAAAGCCGAAGCCTCGTTGGGTGAGTTTCAAGGCTGGCCGTGCAGTTGATAATTCAAGTAATGTGTTGGAATAATAATGACTACCATACGATCTCGATTCCTCCGATCCGCGGTTGCAGGGTTATGAGCTCTGGTATCTAGGTAGGGTAGGATTTGCGTGTGATCAAGTTTCGAGCTGCAGTGCCGTTGTGAAAGAAAGGCGACGGGAAGTTTCAGTTGTGAGCAGGTCGTGCCGGTCCAGGCTTCCGAGAATAGAAGCAGTCACAGCACTGAAGCTCTATCAATTATCAGTAGCGCGTGTCATCTCCGTGGAATCTGGGGTTGTTCGCCCCGCACTGTAAGCGCAAGATGTTGCGGGACCCTTTCCTTTTCAATACAGCCTTACATACCTGGTAACGCCAGTGACCAATACCATACATCGGTAAGCATGTAAATTACACTCTCGACATGATGGGTGTTATTGTCAACGCCCCAGCATTATCCATCGCAAGACAAGAGGTGGTCAAGCACGTATTGCCCCTGTGACTGGTTCTGTCTGTGACGTGGAAGGAGAAAAAGTGCGACATAACTGTTTTCTGTTTGGACGAACCTACCACGTACTCATTGTCCTCTCCACCCGATCGAGCGGTGCTAGACTGCTGAGTTTGCCAGTGGTGGCCTCGCCTCGCCCCTGAAGTGTCAATGTCAACCTAATGCTTCCACCTCCATTCTGAGAAACTGTCATGGTGTCCCACCTTTCCAATCAGTCATGGATTCCATGCCTTTAACCTTGGGTACCCTGAGTTGTGCCTGTCTACTATTACATACAGGTAGCTTGTAGCCCAACTTAAACCTTATCTCCGCCGATCTCCTTTTCTGACCACAACAACGAACTGAACCCCAACACGCCTTCTTCCTCATCCTCCCCGCCTTTAACTGCATTTATTTCATGTTACACTGCGTCCACGTTCTGCGTTTTTCCTGGATGTAACACCTTGATACCCGGCATTTGTTATCTACAATTTCAGACACTTCATGTGCTGCTCCCCGCGTTCTACTTGACGCATCGCTTTCCGGTACTCGTTGGCTTCAGTTTTTCCGACAAGCGACATCACTGATCTGCAACAAACAAAGGGAGCTTACCACTTCTTCCTCATTGACCTCTCTGCTCACCTCACATCGGATTTGGCTTCCTGGTAGGAAGTTTATCTCGTCCTCTAAGCGCTGTGTCACGATTATGATCAGCTTCGAATCCAACCCGAACTATTAGACAAGGCAGCCACCCGACACTTACACCACCTTGTCTTTCCATCACGGAATTCGACGTGCTGTGCCTCCTTGACCGAGGTTCAGCCCGGACAACAACAACAAGGGCCACAACAACAACAACAACAACAACAACAACAACAACAACAACAACAACAACAACAACAACAACAACAACAACAACAACAAAAGCTAGAAACATATATATAAATATATCCTACAGCTACGAATACTTCAGAGACTCTGAGAGCTGCATCCACTTGCGGCCTGCACCCAGGAAAGATCTCCATCAAAAGTATCATTATTCCAATTTCGGCTGCTGTCCGCGTCCCTCGGCTTTAGAACGTACGCGCGACCCAGGTGTTGGACATTGGTCTCCTAACTCAAGATAACATAGGGTGACAGTGACGGCGACGGACAGAAGACCGGACGGGCTCCAACTGTTTTTTATTTGTCCTTTTTCCTTTTTTTTCTTTCTTATAACGGCACGTCACCTTCTTCAACGTCCATCTGCACAGCAGCACTCTGTTGGTTTACCTTCGTTTCACCACCAACTTGTTCAACAAGAGTTGGCCGGTTCGGATCGGCGCTCTCTGGACATACCTGAAAGTAGAAGAGACGAAAGACCTCTACCATTCTACCGCCAATCCGAAGCACTGATACATAACCCACCACCTCCCCCCCCACCCCATCTCCAACCAGGAAAAATGTCCGAATCTGAACTTGCAAGCTGGTACAGCTGGATCACCGGAGCGAGCCTGCTCCCAGCAGAGTGGAGCTACGGCTTGGAGGTATTGACTGGGATTTTTGTAGGTTTGCTTCCGTCTTCCATCCGATCTCAGAGTTGGGCGCAGGCTATCAAATCACATGCTAATCTTGACTGTCGTGGACCAGAAAACGCTGGCTCTGGTACCCATGCTCCCTATCATCGCATTGGTCGTGTACGACTTCACCCTTTGGATGTGGAGGCTCCTCGTCATCGGCAGGAACCCGCAGCGCGAAGCCATCGAGTATATGACGGGAGGCAGCGTCGCAGCTAGCCCGAGTGGCAGCTTACCTACAACGCCTTTGCACATCGGTTCGCCGACCAAAGGATCGCTATCGCCGACAGGAAGCAATTCGGCCTACAAGGACGTGGCGACAAAGGGCACAACGACAGGCTTGGCGATGAACGGTTCAACGCCGATTGTTCTGAGGAAAGGAGGGGATGGTGGAGATGTCAAGGTCACACAGGAAGGAGTGAGATCGCGATCATGATGGATGAAACATGGGCGCAGGCATGGAAAGAGTAACAAGTGGTGCTATCAAACGAAATGGTTTACAGAACAGCGCAACAAGAGCCGAGAAAAAAAAATCGTTATCTATTGATCATTACACTGCGGACGCTATGGGGACAAGCGCCGGTTTATAGCTGAGCAAGCACCTTGAGGAGATCGCTGGTGACGCCCATGGCGGTTACGTCACCTCCGGCGCCGGCACCCTGGATGATGAGGGGGTTGCTTCCATACCGCTTAGTGTAGAAGCTAATGATGTTGTCACTGCCCTTGAGGGCCGCGATGGGGTGAGAGAGGTCAAACTTCTCCAGCCCGACCTTGACCTGCTTGCTGGCCACGTCGATGCTGCCGACGAAGCGGACAACCTTGCCCTCCTTCTGCGCCTCGGCCTTGACCTCCTCCATCTCGGCATCGAACTCGGGCAGGCGGGCGAGGAACTCGTCGCCGCTGGCGACCGACTCGAGCTGCTTGGGGATCAGGCTCTGCACGGGGAAGGACGTGGGCGATTCGACCTCGAGGCCAGCGTAGCGGGCGAGGATGGTCAGCTTGCGCGCAACATCGAGACCGTTGAGGTCATCGCGCGGGTCGGGCTCCGTGTAGCCCAGCTCCTTGGCCTTGGCCACCTCGGTGGACCACTTGCCGCCGCCCGAGCCCGATGTCGGAGCGAACGAATTGAACAGGAAGGACATGGTGCCGCTGAAGACGCCCTCGATCTTGGTCACCTCGTCGCCCGTCTCAACCAGGTCCTTGATGGTGGAGATGACGGGCAGGCCGGCACCGCACGAGGCCTCATGGTACAGCAAAGAACCACCCTCCTCCTTGGCGGCGAAGATGTCCTGCCACAACTTGTACGAGCCCGAGAAGGCCTTCTTGTTAGGCGTCACGATGCTGATGCCGCGGCGAAGGAAGCTGGGGTAGGCATCGGCGATGTCCTGGGAGCTGGTGTTGTCGACGAGGACCGTCTTGGTGCCCGAGGCGGCGAGGTAGTCGACGAGCTTAGGGAGGGCAAGGGGAGCCTGCGACGAGGAGGAGAGGGTCGAGACGACGCTGTCGAGGGCGATGGGCGAGTATGAGTCGCTGTAGACGGCCTTCTTGCTGGTGGCAATGTAGGTGAGCACCAGCTTCTGGTTCTGGCGGCGAGCGGCCAGCGACTCGAGCTGGGAGAGGAAGCACTTTCCTACTCCACCGGCGCCTGGAAGATGGGAAGGTCAAGGTTAGCAGCGAGGGACGTCGGGGTTGGACGGTCTGAGCTGATGTGGCGCAATTGGGGTACAGGTAATTGCCTACCGATGATGGCAATGTTGACTTGACGAGCTGAAGCCATTGTGTCTATGTAATCTTGATTACGTAGTATAAGAGGGATGGGAATGATCAAGTAAGGTACACTTCCTGATCCGCTTGATTGAGATGGAAATAGTTGACGACCCTGACTCAACTGATAACTGATACTGCAATTTCGTGGGGTTCTTGGGTACCCTAGGTACCGTGCTAGGTTTTAATGGAAAAGTGTCGCCATGTGGACTGCCGATAGCGGGGCGGCCGTCCGAATCCAGGCCCGAGTTTCGGGAGCTTCATCCTTGTAACCTTGCTTCAGAGGGAGATGTTTGTAACGGTGGGTATTGCATAGTTTACACGTAAGTTACCTACGCTAAGGATCTTTGAATCTTACGAGTACCGCTTTTCCCCTGCAGGAACACCCCTGTGGGTATATTTTTTTGCAGCAACACGGGAACCTTGGCTTCCAGATTTGCTTCGTTACACTGCACCGGGGATGAAACTTTTGTGAGAGTCGATTCTGGAGTCGCTCTCAGTCTCACATTTTTCCCTATTGGATCCAACAGACTTATTGACTGCACAACAACCGACACACTTCAGTTTTATTAGACCACAAAAACCATTCAATTCAGCAGCCATCATGTCCGAACCCAAGAACAAGCGTCAAAAGCGCGAGGATTACCGTGCCGCCCTCCGCGCCAATGGAGTCACTGAGCTGCCGCGCAAGAAGTTCTACCGTCAGAGGGCCCATGCCAACCCTTTCTCTGATCACTCTTTGATTTAGTAAGATGATTTCCATGTGAAGAGATCATTGTTTCCATGCTCTTGAATTAACGTCGATCTAGTCCCCCTACGCCAGAGCAGATGGATTGGGCTTCTCTCTATCCTCATTATGCAGTTGAAGAGCCGATTGCGCAAAAGACCGAGACAACTGAGTCTGAGGAAACCACGGGTCAAGAGCTGTCGGCTCCTGCCATCAGGAAATTGACCAAGCAGGTTGAGGTTGCAGACATTGGCTGCGGCTTCGGTGGTCTGCTCATAGCTCTGGCTCCCGTACTTCCTGAGACTCTTGTTCTAGGTAGAGTGTTTGACACCCTTGACTTCATCGATCTCATACTGACTGTGTGAACTCAGGCCTGGAGATCCGTGTCTCGGTAACACAGTTCGTGGAAGACAGAATCAAAGCCCTGCGTGTGCAAAACGAGGAGCAAAAGCTGTACCGCAACATTGCCGTACTGCGCGCCAACACGATGAAGTTTATGCCCAACTTTTTCAATAAGGGCCAACTGAACAAGATCTTCATCTGCTTCCCGGATCCGCACTTCAAGGCGCGCAAGCACAAGCAGAGAATTGTTTCCACGACGCTCAACTCAGAGTACGCGTACGTGCTGCGCCCCGGCGGCATTGTGTATACCATCACGGATGTGCCTGACCTGCACGAGTGGATGGTTGGACACTTCAACGCGCACCCGGCCTTTGAAAGGGTGTCGGTAGAGGAGCAGGAGGCTGATCCGCTAGTCGAGATTATGCGCAACGAGACTGAGGAAGGGAAGAAGGTGACCAGGCATAATGGGCAGAAGCATGTTGCTCTTTTCAGGAGGCTGGAGGATCCTCAGTGGCCAGAGGATGTTTCTGCTTGAGCGCGCTCTGGGACATGGAAGAGAGGCTATGGATGTGGACAAAATGCACAATGTTGGTGATACCCGCGTTGATTGGGTTACTACGAGAGTAAAGTACCTCAAGGCGGAAGCCTTCCTATATGGCGCCCTATGCTGGGGTAGGATGTCCGGTGTTCACGATATGGTGATGGTGAAGCGGCATGTCTCTACAGTAAATGACCCCAACTGACCCCCACCCGGGTTACGGACAAGATGACATGTAACTTTGCGCGTAAAATACAGAAACTCGACGGTGGTGTAACGGTGCCCACCGGACGTTCAGTGACTGGACCCCTGGAGAACCCGCGGGCCTCTTGGTCAGACATTTGGCATCGCACCACTGGCTCACTAACGCGGTTTAGCATGGCGGCGGCAATGGACTTGCCGGTTAGTGTTAGTGTCTAGTAGAGGCCAGAGCTCTAGAGTATGGTACTAAACAGCCCACGAATGTCTATGGCCCAACCCCCCCCGCCTGCCTCACCCGCGACACTCCTCACACCGAACCACTTCCACATCGAACTGGCGATAAAACCATGCGGCGACGACAAGCGCCAAATGTCTGCGCTGGAGTATGGCAATGGTTCTTCAAGGGAGAGACATAGCCCTTGCTGCAATTGCTGCTTTCATTTCCTGGGGATATGCTGTCCATTGGTTCCCCGCCATCCGCTGGGCTAACTATGCCTTTGCCGCCGGCGTCCTCGTTACCCTCGTCGGCCTGCTTGCCCTGCTCATGCTTACCTCTCGTGGACCGCATCACCGCCGACTCCGACCATCACCACGGCCCCATGGTGCGGCCTTCGTTGCCCCAGGCTCTTGGTCAAAGGAGGTGGCCGCTCTTCGGGCACGCCAGACGTCCACCAAAGCACCGCTCTACCCCGAGTCCCCCAAGGTCTCGGCAGCTCTCGACGAGGTTCTGGGCTACGTCATCCGCGATTTCATACAAGTGTGGTATTCGAGCATCAGCAAGAACCCTGTCTTTACGGATGAGGTAGACAAGGCAATACGGGGCGCCATCTTGACCGTCCGGGACCGCCTTGCGCAGCTCGACCGCGCTACCATCCTGACCACCCGTTTGGTGCCCATCCTGACAGCCCATTTCCGCGATGTGTACGAGGCCGAGAAGTCGGTCAGGGGACGCAAACTGAATCGATCAGTCACAGAGACGGACGAACTGGACCTGGCGATTGCTTCCAAGTACAGAGATGGCAAGCTGCATCCTGCCGCCACCCTGTCCTTTTCCGACACCAAGACCACTCAGCAAGACTACCTTCGCAAGGTTATGGTGAGGATTCTTCCCAAGATCTTGCCCAAGAGCATGTTGGCTTCCGGCGCAGTTTCAGCCATTGTCCGCGAGATCACTGCCTGCGCTGTCATGTTTCCCATCATGCGGATGCTTTCGGATCCCGATACCTGGAACCAGCTGATGGAGAACTACGGGCGGAGCATGCTTCAGGATCGCTCGACAGTCCGCAAGCTTCGGGCGGCTCTGGACCAGCACGCTTCGCCAGCGCCAAGAGTCAACAAACCTGTAGCATTTCCTCGAATGATTCCTGGCGATAATGAGAGGAAGTTCGAAAAGTTCATCCGCGCCATTCGGAAAACCAACAACCTCTCGGATGCGAGGCGGTTCCGGAGCGAAGTTGCCATTCAGATCAAGCGAGATTCTCAGCAGGAGAATGTCGATCAGATCTACTTGCGTCGTCTTGAGATGGGAAAGAGACTGCTCGACCAAAAGGTGCATCATCTGGCGGCCGGTGGAGATCGTCGGGCTCTCCCACCACAAACTACGGCTTTGCCAACACCAACCGTGTCTCGTTTGGAGAATGCGTCCCTGACGGATGTCTTGCGTGATCCTTCCAGTTTGTCCTATTTTATGGAGTACATGGATAGGCAACGTCTTATGCCTTTGGTTCAGTTTTGGCTTGTGGTGGATGGGTTTCGTAATCCGCTGGAGGACGATGGGCCAGAAGGAGAACAGCTTCCGCTGCAGCTTCCGCCCTGGACGGACTCAGACCGTTTGGACCTCGCTCAGATTGAGGCTGCATATCTCTCGAGGCCTGAGCTCAAAGTACCGGACTCGTCCAAGCGGACCATTCAGGAGTTTCTGAGAGCAGGAAGAAGGGCCTCGCCTGAACAATATTACAAGGCACGGAGGGCTGTTCTGCGTGCTCAAAGCGCTGTGCTGGAGGAAATGAAGGCCAAGCATTTTGGAAACTTCAAGAAGTCTGACTTGTTTTACAAAGCGCTGGCCTCCGAGGAGGCATCAAAGAGCATGGTAGCACCCGTCTCTGGATCATCAACGCCCGGACCTTCAGTAGCCAGGGCATCCTCATTTACCTCCAAGCCAAATCCGCAACTACGCATGGCCCTTCGCCTCCCTCCTGGTGCCCGCAACAGGGGCGCCGGGTCATCCCTTGACCTACGGGCAGGGACGCAAAGCATAGATGCTCTAATGGGGACTCGTCGATCTACGGAAGATGATTCATCCATCACACCTATGTTTGACGACGATGATCTGGGGGAGGATGGCTTGGCAGATTCGGTACAGAGTCTCGAGCAGGAGCCAGCCCCGCCGGTCCCAGATACTCGGGTCGTTCAGGCGATGGAGCAGGCTCTAAATAATATTTTGGAGGACAGCCAGCCGCCAACGGCAGAGGATCTGCGTGCATCTCTTTTCGGTGACGACGGGAACAACTCAAGTCTTTTTTCGTCTTCGACGAAGTCCGGGCCTACAAGAGCAATGTCTGCTACACCACGTTCGAACCATGGCTCCGTTGATTTGGGGCGGCCCAGTAGAGGTTCTGCTGACATGCCGAGACCGATGACAGCGAAAGAGCCGGAGAAGCCCAGTCTGGCATCCCTGGGTCTTGTGAGCGCTGCGTCTCGTATAGGCGTCTTTATCGACGACGATCTGTTTGCAGACGAGAACAGATTTCTGTCGGATGAGCATGAGTATTCTGATGGGAACAAGGATGATGACGAGATTGATGAAGTTCACGAAGCAGCGCCTGGCGATCTTGGGCTAGCGGAGGCAATCACCGTCCTCAGCAATGATATTGATCGCCTGGTTGCTCAGGATGCTGTCGTGGATTCTCTTCTGAAGAAAGCCGAACTGACAAATAACACCGCCGAGCTAAGGATCCTTCGAAAGTCGAAAGCAAGCTTACAAAGAGAAATCCGAAGGAAGGAGTTGCAACGACAACAATATGTCATTCAGGAGAGTGATAACAGTCTCTATGGCCGGTCCACGATCAAGATCAAGAATATCCATGTCGGCCGAGAAGAGGATGGGAAGGAGTTCGCTATGTACGCCATTGAGGTGCTGCGGAATGCTGGAGAGAAGATGCCGGCAGCGACATGGACTGTCACCCGCCGTTACAGCGAGTTTCTCGAGCTCCACCAAAAGCTGCGGTCGCAGTATCCGTCCGTCCGCAACC